ATTTTCAGTCTTGAAACCACATTTCTAGATACTACTTAAAGGTAGGCTCTAATTTGATAGTTTAGAGCCTAGGCTCTATACAAACCGCATCCTTATAAATTTGCTTGATCTGTACTATTTTTTAAATTGTAGATTTTATGATTAGAAGCGAAATAAATTTCAGACCATCACAAATTGCTATTGAAAAATCATCTCACTACACTATTTGGACATGTCTTACTTTGATTGTTTAGACAAAACACACCCTACATGATGGAAAAAGTTTAAGGCGCACCTCAAAATTTACTAGAAGAGGTCGCTTCGATGTAAAAAAAAACTCAAATCGGTAATCTCGACCCCGAGATATATAAAGGTAAAAAAAAAGATTTCAAGTCTGAAAAATAGTGCATCTTGTAATGCATTACTTGATACATCTTTTTTATACTTTCATGTGTTTAATTTGTAAAGCTTTAAATCTTATAATGAGAGAAGAAAACAAATTTTCACGTCATCACAAATATTTTTGCTATTGAAATATCAGCTTTCGACACTTTTTTGAGGTACGACTTACTTTGATAGTTTAGGGCTTCAACCTTATACAAACCACACCCTAAATAATGAAAAAAGTTTAAATAAAGTTGAGGCCTAAACAATCAAATTAACGCGTACCTCGAAAATTTGATAGAAGAGGTTGTTTCGATGTCAAAAACCCTCAAATCGATCCTCTCGACCTCAAGATGTATAGATGAGAAAAAAAATTAGATTTCAAGTCTGAGAAATAGTGTATCTTATAATGCATTATCTAGGCCGTCAATTTTCAATATTTTCAAGTGTCGTCTTATTTGCTCTATCTGCACTATTTTTTAAGCTTTAAACTTTATAATTAGAAACGAAAAATAAATTTTTCTATTGAAAATTCTTGACACTATTTGGATGTATACGTTACTTTTAAGGCCTCAACCTTATACAAACCACAACCTTACATAATTGACAAGCCAAGTGTATTTTCATATAAAAAGAAATAATCAACCCTTGACATAAATCCATCATCTCAACCGGTAAAAATCTGCAAGGCAGGTTGCTACTCTTATTACACCACTTAATCACACTTTGAGAATTACCTTCAATTAAACAAGAAGTTCCTCTAAACCTCTGCATTATGACCTTTAATTCTTGTAGCAGCCTCTGAAATTCAGCTATATTTGCGGTTGTAAACTCACACAGGGCTGCAAAAGATAGCAAAGCAAACCCCAATGAATTCCTTATAACTCCACCAAAACCCACGACCCGTGGATTGCCAAAAGGAGCTTTCATCAAAATCCCTCTAAAGGAGGAATCCATCTCCCCGTCAGCCTTAAACTCTATGACAAATTATTAACTCTATTCTTCAAATTTGTTGAAATATCCACCTTTGATATACCACCACCTTATTTTGAGATTGAAATCCAACTCCTTAAATCATATAATATTCTATTATGAACCTCCTCTATGCCCAGCAGCACACTTTCAAAAGACATGCATTTTCTCTCTTTCCAAATTTCCCACTAAATAACGATTCTGAAGATTATCCACCCTACCCAACTACTCTTCTTCAGGGGACTATGGGAGCTCCATATGCAGCAAAATATTGGCGTGACTTCCGGGCATTATCAACTGAACCCTCGTTAAACCAAATGCCCATTCCCACATAGCTCTAGTAAAAAGACAATGTATAAAAATAGATGGTCACAATTTGTTTAATCCTCTTTACAAAAAGGGCGGCGCAGTTTGTACAGAGCCGAGGCTCTAAACAATTAGAGCCCACCTTTAAATAGTGTCGAGAAATATGGTTTCAATATTGAAAAGTTTTGTGATAGCCTTAAATTATATTTTTATCTTTAGTTATAAAATTTAAAGCTTCAAAAATAGTGTAGATGGAGCAGATCTATGAAAACTTGAAAATCTTGAAAATGGACGGTCCAAATATGCATTACAAGATGCACTATTTCCAAAACTTGAAATCCATTTTTTTCTCATGTCCATGCATCTTGATGTCAAGATGATCAATTTTATGATATTTGGACATCAAAACAACCTCTTCTAGTGAAAATTTTCAGATAGACTCTACTTTGATTGTTTACTTTGATTGTTTAGAGCCTAGGCTCTATATAAACTTTTTCCTTACAAAAAATATAAATATTCACCAAGATCTTACCTTTTTTCTGCAGATTATCGATTGTAAGGATCTTACCTTGAAGAAGAATCCATAAGAAGTCATGTAGTTGTCTGGGATTGCCATCTTTCAAACCTTATACAAAGAGCATTGGAGTTCTCCATGATAGAGTAGTCTATAACCAGACTTCACCAAAAAAATTTCAATCATTCTCAACTTCCCACACTAACAAATCCTCCATAATTGAATAAACACAAACAGAATTCAAGTCTGAAAATAGCAATATCAGTTGTTGAAAAACTGCATCCATCACCATGTTGTATAATATTTCAACACTCCAATGGCCAGAACTCCCTTGCACCACCCAACTTTCTCCCACTGCTGCTCGGTTCGCACTCCTAGCAAACACCTGTGGATAGAAAATTTTCAGAGCCACATTCCCTAATCACTAGTCACAAAAGCTAACTTTATCTCCTTTACCCACTATCCATCGCACATTCCTCATTACAATGTCCTTCACCCCGACAATACCCTTCCGAAAATCCGAAGCCTGAGCCCTTCTCGAAATTGTACAGTTCATCAAAGAATCAACTGACACCCAATATTAGCCTTTATCGCACTACACCATAACTGATCCTTACAATGAAGAAGTCTCCACCGCCATTTAGCCAACATAGACTTGTTTACTAAACTCAATTTTCTTGTCCTCAACCCTCCCTCCATCTTTAGAGCTCTTACTCCAACTTACCAAATGGAGCTTATGCCTTTGATCCACATGCCCAATGAAATTCCACAAACAAAAGAAGGCATCACTAACAGTGACATCAAACAGATAGGTACATTAACTAAATAAGATATCACCAAAATAATACGCCCCCCAAGAGATAGAACCTTGGTCTTCCATACATTCAAGTTAACATGAAATCTCTTTATGATTGGATCCCAGACCACTCTTGGCACCCTTGAATAAGACGTGGGCATGCTAAGGTAATGGAGAGGGAAGTGTTTCGATATTAGAGAACGGTTGATCATCTCAACCTTAAGCTGTATAGATATGGAAAAAAAAAAAAAATTAACTTTTAAAACATTGCATCTTATAACAAGTTATCTAGATCATATATTATTAAGATTTTCAAATACTTATACATCTGCTCAATTGATACCACTTTGCAAATTTAAAATTTAAAAGTTGAGATAACAAATAGATTTACAAATCAGTATAAGATTTCTGTTATTGGAACTTTTCCGAGTTAACTTTAGCAGTGAGTCTTACTTCTATAGTGCAAGTATAGCATAAGAAACGCGCATTATACAAACATCACTCTTAAATAAATTTCCCTAAATGAAAATTATAGATACCTCAAAATCAACTTTGAAAACATCTTACCTCCAATACTTTTTGTATCACACCCTAGATCTCAAATCTATTTTTTCTTGTATTTAACCTTCAAGTCAAAAAATCAAAAAATCAATCTCTCTACCCACCCTCTCTCTATTTCTCTTTTTCTCTTTTTCTCTCGACACTCCCTCTCTTATTCTCTCTCTCTATCCGCCTCTCTCTCTACCGGCAATAGTTTAACCCCACTAAAAAAAAGTCAAAAAAATCAAGACTAAAATAGTTATTATAACGGCATTGTCTCCCTGAAAGTCAATCCCAGCATTCTCTCCGTGACGTTATATAATGGTTATTGGTGGGAAGTGAATAAACCATCCATATAGTGAAATAACGGCATTACCGGCCATTTCTCAAATTTCAATGATGAAATAAAGTTAAAAAAAATGGAAACACCTCAAAAATCCATCAGAGAAGGTTGTTTTAATATTGAAAAACCCTCTAGTTGATCATCTCGACATAGAGATGTATATGATAAAAAAAGAAGATTTTGAATCATGGAAGTAGTGTATCTTACAACACATTATCTAAACCATCCATTTTCAATATATGTTTATAATTCTACTTGATTTTAACCATTTTTGGAGTTTAAAATTTTATAATTAGATATGAAATTAAATTTTCAGATAATCAATTACATATTATGATAAACTTTGGAGGTGCACGTTAATTAGATTGTTTAAGGTTGCAACCTTATAGAAACCACACTCTTTATTTAAAGGAAAATTGTTTCATGCAGGCTGGACCACATTTCTACATATGCAATCCAAAACGTGTAAAGAATCCATCTTTAACCACACTCTTTATTTAAAAGAAAATTGTTTCATACAAGCTGGACCACATTTCTACATATGCAGCCCAGAAAGTTTACAAAATCCATCTTAAAGATGGACGCAAATAGGTATTCCTGATTTTTAGTCTTTTTTTTTCATATTCATGATCTCCATGTTAAAGATTACATGTCCTTAAAATCCATCTCAAAAATAGATTTACTAAGGGGCCTACATTTCTACATATGCAAGCTTGGCCGCATAAAATCATGTCCTTATTTGAAATAATAAAAGTAACAAATCTTGTTATGTTATATGTAATGAGTGGCTTATCGTATGTCGCTGAATAGGCACTAATGACCTCCTGTACTAAAAGCAAATAGTCTTATAATAAATAATCCCTTCTCTTTTTGCCCATTGTTTTATGTTATATTGATTTTTTTTACCACATTTTTCCTCTTCCTTTTTCCCCTGACCATGTCTTTTCCTTTATAACACCTATTTTTCTTTTCGTTATAAAACGGAAGTGAATCCGTGTTTTTTAAACCTTGGAACCATAGACAGAACCCAGCTTACCATCGGATCCATAACAAACTATGACATGTCAATAAAATAAAAAAATATCAACGTTCTTTTCGTCTAATATTTATTTTTGACAATAATGTTTATTATTTGAGGAGAAAGAAAGGCCAATAGAAACCAACAATAAAACACAGCCATCTGAGACTTGACAAGTACTATAAATTACATGGAAGATCACCATGAATTGAGGAATCCACATCCACAATATCAGCAGCCACATATCAAGGCATTCAATCAAAAATTTTCTTGTCTATGACAAATCAGAATAGCTTCTGACTTTGAATATCAGAAATCAATCAAATTTTTGGTGTTGAACCTGAAGAAAAAACTACTACTATCAAAAATTAGATATAGAATCACACTCATCTATCCGGCAGTCTGTTAGAATTATCAGAGAGTTGTTCGTATGCCACCTTCCCACAATGAAACACTGTGAAAATGACTAAGAAGTAGACAAGGGGAACTCCGATGAGGCAGCCTTGAGGCAAGAGATTGATTAACGTCTGAAACACCAACCATCACAAAATAAATCAATCTATCTTTAATGTAAAATATTGAAGTGCTGATACAATTGGGACACATACAAAACGCTAGTGTATGACATATCGTACAACAATGGGGCGTTGGTGGCATTGACCATTGCCAGCCATTGTGAATGGACAATAAATGCCCCATTGATGTACCATAGACCATACACAATTGGTTTCATATACTTTCCATGACAAATAAATAGGCCAAATGCTCAGTCTTACCACTAGGGATGCAACCATATGAATAACAGGCACCAAAATCAGGTCTGTTTTCTTCCCTTTTGCATAACCATTGAAGGCGATCACCATTGAAAAGGTATGGATTGTAACAAACCCCAGAGAAATAATTGCTGCGATATTAGAAAATATAAAAGAACAATATTAAAGAACGAAAACAACACAAAGACATGACACCTTGCACAAGTGAAGCGCCCTACATTTAGATCCAAGCACCAATAATGGAATAAACACAAGTACGCTGAACACTTGTATAGAAAAACATACACCACAAGTTTCATTCCAGTTAATTTTTCCATCAATACAGTTGTACCTTACTTTTTGGAATCTGATGAGATCCAATCAAATAGCTAACAAAGATAGCAGATGATTTCCCATACATGAGTTGTGCATAATATAATTCCCCAATCACAGGATCCTTGAAATCACAATGGAAGTATCTTATCTAAAATGTAAACGAAAACAAAACTTCATTCCCAAATTTCAACCATCATGATGTATCCTACTCCATGAACATCGATGAAAATTTTGTACATAAAGTTTAGTGCTGTTAACAAGAAATTAGAAAAATGAGAAAGAAGGAAGATATCCCCACCAGAAATGAGAAAAAATGGCACTTGAGCACATCTATCAACATAAAATGTAGCTGGACCAAATGCAGGAGTCAGAAGGCTGAGAGAGAAGAACACAGCATGAGCCACCCCATGACCCAGACCACCAGCTGCATATATCATCAAACGAATGCGTTGAGCAGGCCATGCACATACCATGAACATACCTTCAATTACAGAAAATAAGGAGGAAAAAGGTTTTGTGGCTGGCTGGACCAACAACTATCAACACATGGTCCAGCCCCCCAAAAATAGGTGTTTTTTTTATCCGAAGATCTTCAGACCATCTTTGATTTACCTTGTGAACAATTCCAAAAAGTAAAAATAAAAAAAGAAGTTCCTGAGCTCTTAAAACACTAGATTTGGACCATTTCGTTGTCCCTCAAATGGACGATTCATAGTCATCATTGAGGGGGAATTAGATTTGGAGAACTTTTTGGGCCCTAAATCCTTTTATTTACCCTTTTCTGGAATTGGTTTTGGGGGTGACTAAAGATGATATGAAAATTTTGCCTTAGGTAACAATAAGATCAAATAAGATCCCCATGAAAATAACAATAAGATCAAATAAGATCCCCATGAAAATAACAAATGACCTAAGATTTTGTTAACTTAAATTACAAGAACAAAAGATAGGTTGTGGAAGTTTTAGTTTATGGGTGTGGTTTGTACAAGGCCGAGGCTCTAAACAATCAAAGTAAGGCGCACCTTCAAATAATATCAAAAACTATTGTTTCGATACTGGAAATCTTTGTGATAGCCTGAAAATCTATTTTCATCTCTGGTTATAAATTTAAAGCTTCAAAAAAAGTGTAGATCGAGCGGATCTATGAACACTTGAAAATATTAAAAATTGACGGTCCAAAATGCATTACAAGATACACTATTTCCGAAACTTGAAATCCATTTCTTCTCATGTCCATGCATCTTGAGATCGAGATGATCAATTTGAGGATTTTTGGGCATCGAAACAACCTCTTCTAGTGAAATTTTTGAGGTGCGCCTTAATTTGATTGTTTAGAGCCTCGCATATATATAAACTTTTTCTTTAGTTTATTAAGGGTGTGTTTGACACATAGAGTTTTTGGGAGCGGAAGGGACTCTTCCACAAATTATGGAAGACTGTTCTTCCATCATTTTTTATGGAAGAGAGGTTTTCCAAAAATGAACCCATTTTAACACTAAACAAAAGCTGCATGGAAGGTCGCCTTCCACTTACAGCTTCCACACAGTAATATCAAACATGGAAGTGGGACATTTAACTCCCACTTCCAGAAACTTCCACTTATCAAACACGCCCTAAGAGAAAATCCCCAACATAAATAATGATAGAAGTTTACCAAGAGCAATTTGCATCTTGTCTGTTACAAAAAGGCGAGGCTTTGAAACCCTATCTGCAAAAGCATCCAATATATCTTCCAATCTCCTAAGAGTGATTTGGAGTTAGCAAGATTATTCATGCATTCACTAGATGATGCAAAGAAATCAATATTCAAGAAAAGGAATAACTGTCTTAAGCAAAAATGTAAAAAACCACATAGGTCTGCAACTGGCCGATACCAAGCAATTGTAGTTAAGTTTTAAATTGAGATGATATTAGATGGTAAAAAGTCCCATTGCAGAAAAAGGGTCCAACAAAGACACCATATAAACACCATTAGATATTTTATTCATGATTAAAAGTACAACGATTTAACGATACATTAAAAGAAAAGACCAGTTTAACGAAACAACTCAAGAAAAGCTATTGATTGAGCATAACCCTTATCTTCTTTGGCAATAGCTGCATCTAATTGCTAGCACAAAACTATCACTAGTTAAAGGAAAAGTGTTTGGTATGTCAAGGCCCACACGTATTATTATGCCCTAAGTTCTGTAATATCCAATCAAATTGGAGAGTGCAGATCGCAACCAAAAGTCCTTCGTCTTGATTTTCAGGTGCAACGTATATTGTCCAATTACATTCATTAGTGCAGATTCTAGGGCCTGTACCACTGTGCATCAAGCCCCTCCCCAAAACCAGCTCCCAGTTGAGCTCATTGTATTAGCATGTGCTTAGAGGACCTCTGGAAAAGTATAGTCCCGAGCAAAACCTCTGATGCTGGCAACCATTAAATCTTAGATCTTCTTTTATTGTTTAGTGCATCCTGTCCTGCCCACTTGAGAGAAAAACCTATAATACTTCTATCAAGATTAAAAAACACAGCACAACTCCAATGACCATTGCATTATAAAACTACATTAGCCCATTCAATGGTCAACCTATCCCAATATTTGAGAGTTAAGCAAGCAAAAGGCTTTGCTAGATCTGAATGTGAACAACAAACGAACATATCTAGCTCCTTATAAATGTCAAAACAAGAAAATTTCTAATTAATCATTTATCAAATAAAATTCCCAAGAATTCTACCAATTTCAAAATTGTTCAACATTCATTGAATTTAACAGAGCACTAGGAGATTTCCTTATTCCTAAGGACAAACAGTCATCAAACACGAGATTATCACCAATTTCTCTCCTTATAATGATGTGTATTGCCTTCAAAGGAATATGGCAGAAGTTATGCATACAAAAGAACACGAATTTCTTGAACATAATGAATGTTGATCATTTAATACTGTAGAAGCAAATGATAAAGTCCCCAAGAATTCAAACAATAATATAAATGTTTTCTTTGGTAGTTCAGTGGTAGGAATCGAACTTGAGATGTAGCACTGCTAAACATCAGTTGCTAACTGCTCAAGCCCAAGCCTCACTCCTACAATAATATAAACATAATTACCAAGAAAACCACAATAAGCTTTGTTCACAAATACGGTATATTCAAAATAGAGCATTTAAACCTTGAATAACAAAGAGAAAAAAGCATCAACGTACTTGTAAATTTTCCAAAATAAAAGCCTCAGCCCTTCTTGAAAACTAACTGATGTAATTATGAGCAATCCAAAAGCCCATTGCTTAGATCCGAGTGGAAGGAAACCCCTCCATATCGCAGATAGCACGATCAAACTAACAAGCCATATTAGTGAACTGCAGCCATCAAACGTTTATAAGAAGCAAATTTGACGATCACAAGAAAAACCATATAAATGAATCCATAAAATGGGAAAACCATTGCTTAGCTTTCAAATGTCTCCACTACTTTATCTACAAAAACGATTTCATCTATAATTCGCACTTTGTTTAACTATACTGCTTTAGCGTATCAATTATAAGAACTACCTCATACTTCTTCAATAAATACCACAAACTGTTTTTCTTTTATTCAGAAACATTCGACAAGTACTTTAGAAAATTAAGTAATTTAGAAAATTCTTTCTCCAAAACCTGTTATGGTTTAAGAAATGCATGACTTCTATACTAGGGACGTGGATTAATAACAATAAACCCATCATTTTCTGGTATTTCAAGCAAATATGCAATTCTTAATCCAAGATACACAATAGTATTGCCCCCACATGCAACAGGAATGGAAAAACCCAAAACCAACAGATGGTTCTAAGTGGGACTATAAAAATGAGAGGTTTACATACTTACTTCAGCTAAGAGGATTCTTTAAAGATAATTAATCAAAAAAAAAAATCCCTATTGGGATTGAATATTTCAATAATTTCAAGAAATAATGAAAAAAACTAGTTTTTCCATTGACAGCAAGGCATTCAATCTCATCAAGTAATTGAAGCTTTCAGAGAAAGAGGGATTACAGAGATAATTGTCTAAAAAATTTCCCTTTTGCTCTAAATAACGGTAATGGTCATGGAAACACACAGTTTATTTGGGAGAAATGAATGAATTGCAGGCAATAAATAAATTTCCAAAATTCTACACAGAAATGCAAATAAGAAATAGGGTTTCTCAAAAAACTTGAGATAGAAAGAGAGGAAACCATGTGAAAATTTCCCATTTTGGCTGTAACTAACGTTAAAAATGATGGGAACCCACAGTTTACTCCAGAGAAATGAGTAATAGAGGAAATTCAAAAAAATTACAAAGAAATTCGCATAAGAAAATGGGTTCCTCGAGAAAAGCAGCGAGAGAGAGAGAGGTTACCTGGTGAGGAGAGTGAGGATGAGGAATGGTTTTTTAGAGATGAGAGTGAAGAAGAGAGAGAGAGAGGGGCCGAGGGCTAAAAGGGCATAGCCCACCCCTGCTGCTAATGTCATCTCTATCCTCAAGCCCCTCCCTTCTTCCTTACTTTCTCTCTCTACACACTTTCTCTCTCTCTCTGTACATAAACCCACCATCTCTTTCTCACCGACTTCTTTTCTAGTTTGTTTTGGAAATTACGTTTGTACCACCGTTTAATTTTCTATGCGGCGACCGAATATTGCTTTAATGCAATCATCTTCAAAAACTATGAGAGGGTCATTTTTTTTATCCAAATTCTGAAATATACATTCTCTTTGTTTTAATGAACAATCGCATAAAAGAAAAATTTGAAAGTAGAACTTAGAAAGTATTTTTTAGCTCAATTAACCCGTCTATTTTAAAAAGATAGTTAGATTTATCGATCCAATTTTTTTAGATGGTTTTATTATCATTGGATGAACAATGTTAAAAAAAAAAATAATAATTTTGAGTTTGTAAACACTAATACCTTGAAATTCAACAAATGCATAGTCTAGATTCGTTGAAGGAGGGGATTCATTTTGACCATATCTAAGGTTCAAATCCTTTTCTTTTCTTTTTTTTAGGGATTGATTATTGAGATGAAAATAGTGTGCGTGTGTAAAATTTTGGGTCTTACAAATACCACAAACATGTGTTTCTGGTTGCATTAAATGGGAAAATATAGAATCTAACCATTTACTTTTTATATAAGGTAGTCATAATAATCTTGACGGTTAGATGTAAAGTTGGGTGGCTGCAATTATTCTATTGACCAAGCTCAAACTTCAAAGGAAATTTTTTTGAACTTTACAACACATCCAAACTATCAAATTTCACATCAAATGGTAGGAAGGAATTGTGACCACCTTGTATAAAAAGTAAATGGTCTCATTGTATATAATCTTTTTTTAAATATAATTTAATCTTAAGTTTTAGAGAATACATAATCTTTAACATGGAGATCATGAGTATGAAAAAAAAAAAATTAAAAACTAAAAATAATAATTATATTAAGAAAACATTTGGACCGGTAGTTACACTTTGTTTTTAGATGGACCACCTATTTGCATTCATCTTTAAGGTGAATGCTTTATACCTCTGGATCGCATATTGTAGAAATGCAGTCCACCCCACATGAAACAATTCCTTACTAAAATCCGCTTTAAATTTCAAATATTACCCCTGTACTTATAATTTTTTACAAAAATTGATTTTGTTTTTTAAAGTGTCCCAACTTTCAAGGTCAATAGAGCCATCCAATTTCACATCTAATAATAAGAGAGAGATCGCTTACTGTTTCTTTTGTTGTTTTAGTGTTTCTATATGTAATTTGGTAATGTGCAGCAATTGTCATGTGCGAATTATATAAGTTGAACTTCGAACTTTGATGATTTTCATGCTATCAACTTTTGTCATGTATCATCTGATGCTTCTGGGGATTAAGTCCAGAAGTGGCACAATTTGGAGCAGGGTGTGTGAATAATAATGCAAAATAATTGGAAAGCACCACTACAGTGTCTAGAATTGTGTTTTTCGATAATTTTGATAGTTTTAAAATAATTTGGGAAGTTCTATACTTTTTCTTTTAAAAAACAAAATTCTCAAGAATCAAGTTTTTCAATAATCTATCTATCTTTTATAGATTTTTTTCCTCTTTTTAGTCTCCATTACATCTTTTATCTGTTCTTATTTTTAACTTTTTGTTATTTTTTTTACTATTCGCTTTTCTTTCTTCTTTTTTCTTTTTTACTTTTCCACCCTTATGTCACACTCTTCAGCCAAGGGCCGAGTACCTGGGGCGGCCATGTTCAAGACATTGGTTTCTATATATGGAACACGTTTTAGACTCCCTGAGATCATGAAGTTTTTCTTGATTTTACAAAGCTTGCCCTTATTACATATCTTGGTTGGTTAAGAACCAACTTCAAGACTACTGGCATAAGGGATTTTGTGATAAATGGGATTCCTATATTGCTCAGATTACCTACAAGGAAGTACTTGCAAGTAGATTTAGACAGAGCCCTTTAGGGTCTATGGATTGTATCAGTTTTTTGTGAGATCCTATATTGCTCAGATTACCTACAAGGAAGTACTTCCAAGTAGATTTAGACAGAGCCCTTTAGGGTCTATCGATTGTATCAGTTTTTTGTGGGATTCCTATATTGCTCAGATTACCTACAAGGAAGTACTTGCAAGTAGATTTACGCGGAGCCCTTGAGGGCCTATGCATTGCATCGGTTTTGTGATGTGCTTCGGTTATTGCATTAATACCAGTTTGATGGCAGGTATATTCGTTGTCTGTTGACTTTAGAAACACTTGTCACTAGAACTGGCAACGAGCCGTGTGAGGTTTAGCTGTAATCCCTCTAGGACCGGACCGGACCGGAGTAAGCTCGGCTTTGTAGGCCTGGCCCTAGCCTTGTTAGGGCCAGGCCGAATAGGGCCAGTCCTATCATAACCCTGGCCTGGCGAGGCACAGGCCCAAGGCCCTAGTTTTTCTAAGAGCCAGACCACTCAGCCCATTGCCAGCGTACTTTTGGACTCTTCAGACTTTTAAATGAAGTTGATTTGATTAAGATACGTGCTTATGGCAGTGAGATGTGCTGCTCTTGTATTCTTTTGGAGATGTGATTGTCTTGATACATGGTGCACTCCCTCCTCTCTCTCTCTCTCTCTCTCTCTCTCTGTAAAGCATACATATCCACACCTATTGAGCAGCCAAACGAATCCCTTGTGCGCAGGCGTTTGTGCACACAGAACTACAGACACCATAATACACATGCAGTTAAATAATTTAAATGAAAAAAAATACAGGAATATCTTCAATAACGAAATTCATTGTATTGGTAAATTGCTGACAATAACCCAATAAAATTATCCTCCAAGTATCCCAAAAATGATAATAATTACTAAGATCAAATGCTTGGTGGTATTTTGGCAATTTGCTAATAGGCATCATAAGGATCTCTAGTATTTGTTTTTATAGGGGATAAATGCCAAGATAGTTCGGTTTCAAGAACGCCATAAAGCCAGCAACAAAGTACTGATATGCTAATCTAATTTAATCAACATTTAGATACATTTGGCCACTCATTTACTGAAATAAGTTGGGAAATAAGCTAATAAATAAAATAATAAACTCATCTCCAAAAATTTAACAAGAGGTCTCTCAAATTTTTTTACATAATTAAATACCTACAAAGAGGCTTTTCAGTATACAATATACAAAAGTTAAATAGAACCAAGCCATAAAAGAGTGCTTAAAATGTATCAAAAATGAGGCTTTACTTGACAGCCCAAAAATTTCTGATAAGATGAGAATGAATATACAAAAATAAAGCCATACCATGGGAAAGGGGAAGTCTTTAGTTTGAAATGCATGTAATAGCATTAGCATCATCAGATTTGGCTTAGTTTTTTTTCTTTGAGACTGGGCTTGCTGCTTCCTTAAAAGCTGATGGGCACAAATTATTTACAAGGCATTCCCCACAATGAGGTCTAAGAGGTGTACAACATGTTTGTCCAAACCCAACCTGCAAATTACAGAAGCTACATGTAAACACTTCTTGTTACCACTTCTATACAAGGAAAAACTCATCCTGATAAGTAGCACCTCAAGTCTTTAACAACTAGTCAAACTACAATAAGAAAGGAAAAGGAGCTATTTCTGATATTCAGGAAGTAGAAGGCAATGCAAATGTTAGTTACCAAGAAAGGGCAAAGACTACACATATTAAACTATTAGAACTAATCAGGGAGTTTTTCCTTGTAAAATACCCCAAAGGGACCTTGGCAATTCACCCTAACACAAATTGCAATATCAGAGGATGGGGTAGAATGGAATTTAATGCAAACAATATATATGAAAAGCAAACAAGATATATGAAAACGGTTTTAACTAGTAGAAGGGAGGGAGTCGGACCAGAAGCGGGTTGATTTCAACCCATTCCTCCTTTGGAAGCCATGATTCTAGCAAGACTCTCGTTTCCTCTGGAGATGATGTTTTCTAGCAAAAAAGTTTATAAAAAGAACCGCATGCATGCAAGTCAATTATTTTTTTTGAAATTTACATATTAGTAAGTTATTACTAGAACCATATGAACAATAAATCTATCCAAGTGCAAAGATTTGCTCCACGAATAAGTGTTACAATACCTGTTTTGTGCCCGGCTTTGATACCCAACCTAGACGATTACAAATACGGTGCACATGGGTGTCCACACATATGCCTTGGACATCATTCCACCCAAGATGCAAAATCTGCAGTTGAAAGTATACTTTTGACTAGACATGTAAAGACCTAAAGGAAATGCATATTCATTCTATGCATGGTGAAACTAGAAGAGACTAACTAAGCTGATGCTTTAAAAGGCCAACTACCTAATATCTTCTTGGCTGTACAAAAAGAGAGCCATTTCAACTATATCATTCCTAGGAACACAAATCTGGAAGTAGAAAGGATCCAATTTAACCATATGAAATGCATTTACTCTTCCAAAATAATCTGTTATAAAAAGTGAAAACAAAATTTTCATACCAAGTGAGCCATTTTAGGACCTATACCAGGGAGCGCGAGTAACTCATCCAAAGTGGATGGAATGTCTCCTCCATATTTCTTGAGGCAAATATCTGCAACTTTCTTTAGGTATCCAGCCTTTCTCATGTAAAACCCAACCTGAGGGAGGAAAAGAAGGACGCTAGCTTTCAAAAAAACGTTCTTGTAAAGTAATATTTCAATGTTATGCTGGTCAGATATGATACAAAAGAAGAAAAGTCTATTTTATGAATATCAAAAGACTCTAGCAGCTGGAACAGATATTGTAAGTGGCTACATGGGCAAATTCTCCAATGTTTTCAAACAAGTCAGTGTCAAATGCCATATGTGATACAACATCTGTAATGATGAACTCAAATAACTCAAAAACATTAACAAATAGATATCATCGTATGATAGCTTTGGATTCTCATGCCTACAGAAAATGTGAGACTAAATGACCAAATACACTAAGACACATAAAAAAATTAGCATTGTATAATATAAGATCATTGATTTTTGGTACAAGGATGTCACAATCATTATTAGCCATTGGATGTGAAATCTAACTGATTGCAGTGTGTTGTCATTCAAGAAATTTTATTTCAGACTTTGTGGCCAATCAATGACACAATCCCAACCACCTAATTTCAAATTGAAGAGTCGATAATGATTTTGACCTCATTATATCAAAAGTTAATAGTCTTATATACATTTCCGTAAAAAACCATAGAGAACTTCATCGTAACCTTGATTTGATATATGCACAACTGATGATGAAGTATTATCTCATATCATTTTGACATTATATGATAGAGAGAGCAGAGTTCCAACACATGTAAAAGATGCATATCTCTAGTCATAGCTTCAGAACAATACTGCAATCCACCAATGGAAAGAGGGTGTAGGAAAGTGAGAACAAGTTAGAGAAAGGATGTATCTCTAATCCTATGATAATGTGTATATCCCATAGCTCTCGAAATAGGGAATGGAACACAGCTAAGTGAACCGTGAGAGAGAGAGAGAGAGAGAGAGAGAGAGAGAGAAGAGAGAAGTTATGTTGTTATATCCTAAACATGTCGCCCCCCATTGTCCATAGTTATCATTTATGTTAGTGATCATGTACGGCCGTTTCAGTCACTTCGCCCGTGTTTGTCTAGGCCCAAAGGCCTCATATATCAAGCTAATGAGGATTCTCACATGCATTCTCAAAAGTCTTAGCAATCCAAAAACTTGTATCTACAAACTTATGAACTAGTGAAAAATTCTTGCTATGTATTAGGCAACTTAAACCCATCATAAGCATTCAAGCATATGATACCTCACACAAGCAAGATAAAACTTCAAATGTTGATGTGGTGTTTACTTACTGGGTAGATCAAGCTCCTTATGCTTGCTTCATCTGCATTGGAAATACTTTCAGCACTCAATAGCCCATTTTGATGGAGCCTCTGAACTGCTCCTGCAAGCAATCGAATTCATCATATCAAGTTCAGTAAAACAAAAAGGGAAAAACCATATTTTGGAAACCACTTTGAGAAACCCAAAAACACAATAAAAATGTTTCCTATAAAAAAACAATCAAATGGGTGGTAGAACGTGTTTTGTCATATTTGCAACAAAACTTGCCATGATTAACATGATCCTTGGTTTGGCTTGACAGAAGTGATCCCACCAGGACAGAAAACCTCCTCTCCTGTTAATTGCAATTCTCAATTATTTAACCAAATAAACCCATTCTTTTTGTTCTAAGCATGTTAAGAAGTCAAAAACCACGGAAATTGCATTTTCACATTCCTGCAAACCTTAATCTTCAATCCAGTAATGAAGCTGCAAGTTATACACTCAACAGGATAATTAGAATATGCCAGTGACAATCAAGGCTACAAAATTATAAGATGTGGTTCACACAATCCTTAGTCCACCTTCAAGTCTTCTATAAAAGTGTTGAAGCAAAAAGAAATGGCCCTAAAATACCTTAGGTGGCAGAAAGCTGCCAGCTCTTCCACATCCTACAGAGTCTACAGGAGCCTCTTTTGCAACTCTCATATCACGGATACCTTTGAGTACTTCTTCCCAATTAACTGGTGGTTCCACTGTTTTACAAATATCTGCATTATTTGACCAGCCAAAAGCATATTATTTTTATAAAAATCTTGGAGCAAGTTCATATTATCATGTTAACTCTAAAGACAAACTGAGTAAATTACTTTTGTTTTCTTTTTTCTAATGTCACATCATCATCATCATTCGAGCCTTATCCTAACTATTGGGGGTCGGCTCTTGTGTCACATCATTTGTCATATCTAAATTAGCTTAATGGCCTTTAATCTTTGTACCACTAACTGCTCTCAGACACTAAATAAGATTCTAGGTTAGTAGATACCTTTTGGCTTGATGGAAACAATGCTCTCTGCTCCCATTCTTTGCAAAGTCAAGGTATGTTTTTTCTTGCCAGCTGAACCTTGTCAACACATATACACGACTACTATAAAAATGGGAAGAAAAATGAGTGCCAAGGCTAACCCTAACAGTATGAAATTGCAAAGAAACTCAGCGTCAGATTGACAATGTCGGCTTAAAGGTTTGTGGGTTGGAGGGCTTAGACCGATATAATACAGTAGCAGCCAATATATTGGGGTTTGAAATGGAAGAAGAAAAATCATATTTATGTTATAGAATAGAATTAACGAGCTATAGGCATATATCAGAGATGGCTGTGAAAGATAGTGTACAGTCTGTATATCCTTAGTTATAGAAGGTGTATATTATACGCAATGTATATGGGAAGGGTTGATGCAGTATCTTGTATTTTATGGTATAGGTGTCTCTGATTTATTTCTATTTTTGTTATCTATATTTGTCTACATAAGACAAGCTTGTATATTCATATTGATTAATGGACAGACAAATATAGATAACAAAAATAGAAAAACTTTGAAGAGCCTCAGTGTCCATTAATCAATATGAATATACAAGCTTGTCTTATATAGACAAATATAGATAACAAAAATAGAAATAAATTACAGACACTTATAATATATCCAGACTTGCCATAAAATACAGGATATTGCACCTACCCTTCCCATACACACTGATTATAATATACACCTTCTATCATTAAGGATATATAGAATATACGTTTTCTTTCATACTCCCCCTCAAACTCAAGATGTTTTGAGAGAGAGCAGCTAGAGTTTGAACAATAAGTTGCAAAAAAACGTAGATAGATCTTCAAGCGCACAACTTCAGATTGTTGATCAACAAGCACAATTGGATCATTGAATTGGAGTTTAGAATGGTATCAGCAGGCCTTAGAAACAAAAAGCCAGAGCAGAGCAAGCTCGACCAACAACAGATTAGCAAGCCTCAATAACAGATAGCAAGAACAAAGTAGGTTCGAGCAACAGAAAAAAAAAACTTCAGATAGTCGCCAAAGACAAAAAATAGTTAACCGAGAAAACATAATGGCACTTGGAAGAGCCAACAGAACTCGATCGATATCCAAAACAGATTCGACAGCTCGCAAACCAGAACAGATAGGATCAAGTAACAAAACAACATACTCGATCATACAGAAACTAAATAGAGCAAAAACAATTTCAAGAACATTCCTTTTTCGTTTTTTCCTTTTTATTTTTAAACAAAGCAACCAACCCATGAATCCAAGAAACAAGCAAGCTCAACTGAACGAGGTTTCCTAGTGCCTTTGATACAAAAAAAGCTCAGTCAACAAATCAAGCTTGACAGAAAAAAAATATTTAAAAAATCATTTTCTTTTATTTTATTTGATCAACAATTTGATGGTCCTCTTCAACACCAGAAGGACCATGAGGGGAATTTGAAGAGGCCATGGGATTAGAGGCCTTGAACACAAATGGTTGAGATGTCATTTACTTACAGTTAGGGAAGATTTGGGTATTGTTTTCCTCTATCCAAATTGGGATCTTGGGTTTGTGTGGAACAGAGAAAAATTGGGATTCAGAGAGAAAAAAAAAGGGTTTTATTTGCCTATCAAGAGTGTTTCTTAGAGATAAGAGTGTCTGCGTTATATGAGAGAGAAACAAATGGAAAAAGTGATCAAATACAGGTACGGATCTTCATGAAAACACATAAAACCAGTAGAGGAAGACAACTGAGAATGACTGGACCGGGTGGAATAAACCTTCTAGGGTTGAGAATACCATAGAGTCTAGAGTGATGGTTTGCTCAAGTGTTGTTTAAGGTTCATCAATAGAACTGCTCTGCAATGGAAACCAAGCTCTAAACCATAAAAACCATGACAAAACCCTTTTGACTAATCAAGCTAATGGGAAAATTCACAAAAGGAAATCTAGATCTCGCTAAACATCAATGAATCGAAATCAATATCATAGAAACAACCAGATCGGGATCTAATAACCCTGATTTCCTAACCAGAATGCGAAATATCACCAAAATAACAAGATAATGGACTTGGGTTTTCTTCAAACTAGAGAGAGCAAATGAAAACCCACTCCAAATAAATCAGATACAAGATAATCAAATAAAAAGAATGAGAGAGAACTAAGAATCCCCCTCTTCGAAGAAACCACCAAACATATCTCAACAAAAAATAAAATAAAATAGAGAAATTAATCAATGAGAAGCTGAGAACCGAGATTGATTCAGTAGCCTCATAAACAACAGACAAAATAAGAAAACACCGAACAATGATGGACAGATTGTCACCTTTCAGAGATTTCAGGTTCATGTGGTTTCCCAGCAAGTTTAGGGGTGGAATCAGGACAGGTTCGAGTAATAATAGAATAACAGACTCTATCGTATAGGAATGGACACAGCAAAGATGAATCTAGCTCTGATACCATGTGAAGAGTCTCAAGTTTCTCTGAAGAGACTCAATGTCCATTAATCAATATGAATATACAAGTTTGTCTTATATAGACAAATACAGATAACAAAAATAGAAATAAATCACAGACACCTATAATATACTCAGACTTACCATAAAAAACAGGACACTACACCTACCCTTCCCATACACACTAATTATAATATACACCTTCTATAATTAAGAATATACAGAATATACACTTTCTTTTACAATGGAAAGGCCCCAAACCATTTAATCAACCACCATATCTTACTTCTTAACATTGACCATGTAGAATACACATTCCATAGAGGGCATATATCAGAGATGACAAGGCCCAAACCATTTAATCAACCACCATATCTGACTTCTTGTTGACATTGTATATATATACCTGGGTTTGTCTAAAGCTAACAACCCCACAAAATACAAAGGCTAATGTTAGAATGAATTGTGATTGGTGTATTTATCCAAAAATCATTACCTTTTATTTTAAAATTATTTTGTTGTGAAACTTAATTATTAAGTAAGGGCAAATTTGAAGTCTTTATAAAAGTACAATGATATTTTAAAAGTTAGTGTATGGGAACTTTATTTGTAGAGTACCCTTGTCCTTTAGTAAAAATTTCAACTTTGCCCTTTATGAAGATGACAAAATTACACATTGCCTTTTAGTAACATTTACACAAACACCCCTTACTTGATGAGCAAGATATCACAAAAAATAACTTTTTTAAAAAACGAAACACAGTTGGTAAATCCACCATTCAAAACTCACTCTAAAATTAACCTTTGTTGAATTGTAAATTATCCCCATATATATATATATATATATATATATATATATAAATGAAGGATTAGTCCCCACAAAATACTTTAGTAAGATGACACATGTATTAAATACAGCTGATGGCAGTAGATTAATCATAAAATATAAATTATCTAATACTGCAGTCTGTAATAATGGAAACTGTTTTGGGATGCCCTTTATCATGGTAAAAGGGTTAAGCCAAGCAGTAATCTTAGGAACCCCATTCCTGAACCTATTATATCCATTAACAATAGATAGCTCAGGAATAGAATCTAATATAGAAGGTCATAAAGTGAAATTTGACTTTGTTGATAAGCCAAAAGCAAAAGAAATAAATAATGTAAAACAAATTATTGAACAACATTTCAAACATATAAATATTTCATAAATGTTATAAAGGCTGCAGGATTGGTAATTTCAGCTAAAAAGATTAGCCTTTGCCAAACGAAAATAAGATTCTTAGGTCATAATATTTTCCAAGCCAAATGGCACAACATTCCATTCAAATTGTCCAAATGGGATATTGAAAGCAGTTTTATATCTATCTTTTTACTAATTTGAATTTGCCAATAACCTGATTTTAAATCGATTTTAGAAAATATACAAGCATTTACCAATATATCAAGTAAATCCTTTTTATTTGAAATTGGATATCGTATCCACTTGAGAACCGTATTAAGAGGCTTATAGTTTATTACCAGTCTAGGGACTCCTCTTTCCTTTTCAGAGGCTTTATCGACATAGAATGCTGAACAGCTCCAAGGCGATGAACTTTTTCTGATAAGTTGCTTCTGAAGTAAATCATCGATTTCCTTTTTACATATTTCTAGTAGTCAAGGATTTATTTGAAATGGTCTAGCTTTTGTAGGTATTTTATTTTCATGAAAATCTTCTTCATATGGCAAACTCACAATATGTTTTTTCCTATTCCAAAAAGCACTTGGTAAATCAGCACAAATTTCGTTTTCTATTCTCTTTTTAATTTCCGCAATATATTTTATATTTTCTGTTAGGGAGAGTTTTTCTTCTATTACCTTATATTTTATTTCTTCTTTTAGATGGCATAGAAACTTTTCTTTATTGAAAATAATTTGTTTTACATTATTTATTTCTTTTGCTTTTGGCTTATCAACAAAGTCAAATTTCACTTTATGACCTTCTATATTAGATTCTATTCCTGAGCTATCTATTGTTAATGGATATAATAGGTTCAGGAATGGGGTTCCTAAGATTACTGCTTGGCTTAACCCTTTTACCATGATAAAGGACATCTCAAACCAGTTTCCATTATTACAGACTACAGCATTAGATAATTTATATTTTATGATTAATCTACTGCCATCAGCTGTATTTAATACCTGTATCGTCTTACTAAAGTATTTTGTAGGGACTAATCCTTCATTTATGCAGTTTAAGTCTGCCCCTGAGTCTATTAATGCTAAAGACTAAAAACTATATTCTTTATTGACTATTATTCTTATCAGTGTAAACCATTTCTGTGTAATTACTTTATCAAGCAGGTTTACATAATTATCAGGTTGCACAGAATTAGAAGATTCAGGTACTTAAACAATTGGAGAAAATGGTCTTTTATAATTATTTATAATGGTATCAAATTCCTCTTCTAGAGTATTTTTTGGAGTAGCATGTAGTTTAGAGGCTAACTCTAAAATTTGTATTTTATTTCTAAGAGTTATTAGTTCACTTTTAACTTCAGTTATTTCATGCTTTAATTCAGCAATCGTTGGTTCTCTTTGAACATCATTTCTTTTATTAATTCTCTTAAGTATTTCAGCAAGAC